AAGGCCTGTGAGGTGGAAGCTGATCAGCATTCTTCTTATCACAGACATCTGCAAAATCCTGATATTGTAGCGGAAGCTTAGTTAAGTTTGTAGCAACCATTTCATTAATTGTTGTGGTAACAGGTGTCGCCTTAGAGGGTTGACAATTCATTAAGCAGTGTTCTGAAGGAAAGGACAAAGTTCTAGTCTTCCAATCAATCTGTGGGTTATGCAGCGCAAGCCAGGGTATACCCAAAATCACTGGAAACTGTGTTGAGGAAATTAGGTGGAAAGATATAGACTCATGGTGATTCACTTCCAGAATCAATTTTAAGGGCAGTCATGTGTAACCGGGCCTGACGTAAGTGGAGAACCGTCTACTGTTTCCATTAACACAGGTGAAGATTTAGGGATAGACTGAATTTTATTTCCTGCTGCAAATTTAATGTCCATAAAGTTTCCGCCTGCTCCGGAATCTATCATAGCTGTAGTTGAAATGTTATTATCACCATATTGCAAAGTGATAGGCACCACCAAATGAGGATGTTGAGTCGTCATACCCTCTTCACCCTGAGCCAGAGAAAACAAGGGTTGTGTGACAGAATCCAGTTGGTCTGAAATCTGGGATTGGTGTTGAATCTGTGCACCCTCAGCAGTCATAGCTATTGTTCTTTTAGACTTGTTAGGGGCACTTGATGGCATAATGCCCTGCACTACCACAATACAGGCATAAGTTGTGAGTGCGTCGCCACTGTTTTTCTTCATTGGATAATGGCCCTCTTATTAGATCTACCTGTATAGCCTCAGGTTCAGAGTCTGTAGGTGTTTGTGGGGTCGGAGTAGAAATTCTTGAATAGAAAGTAGGAGTAGCACTTGGTTTAAAAGAGCCCTGTCTTTTCAATCTTCTTTCTGAAAGTCTCCGATCAATACGGATAGCCAACCGCACAAATGCATCAAACTCAACAGGAAGATCAACACGAGCTAGCTCATCTTTTATAGCTTCTGAGAGACCCCTTCTGAAGTGGAACCTCTGGGCTGATTGGTTCCAAGTAGTATCAGTAACCCACTGTCTGAATTTAGCAGCATATTCAGCCACAGATCGCCTCCCTTGATGTAAATGAAGGAGAGTGGCTTCTGCTGTAGCACAGCGATTGGGATCATCAAAAACTAGGCACATGGCCTCAAGAAAGTCTTTTAAATTTCCCAAGATTGTACTGTCCTGTTCCAGAAAAGGGGAGCCCCAGGCCAGGGCTTCATCTTTGAAGAGGGAAAAAATAAATCCCACCTTCTCTCTTTCAGATGGAAAACGGTTAGGTAACATCATGAAATGCAAACTGCATTGATTTAGGAAACCCCTGAATTTTTTGCGGTCTCCTCCAAATTTTTCTGGTAGAGGCAAGCGGGCATCTTGTGCAGGTGTAACAGTAGTAGTAGCAGCAGCCGCAACATCATGTGCCCTGTAGCTGGTAAGCTCTCTATGCATTGATCGAACTTCATTTTGCAGTTCAGCTACCTGATCCTGCAGCACTTGAATGGTCTGTGCCTGGGTCTGCATAGTTCTTGCATTAAAAGCAACCTGCTGGGCTAATGCAGAATCTGATCCGACAGTCTCCATGAATGGGCCAGATTATTCTGTAATGATATTGATGTTACAAAGTTTTGGAGTCCAGTAGCCAGATCAGCAATGTTTTCTGCCAGAGGTAGCCACTCGTTACCCAGGTGGTTGAGCCTCTGAGCCTTGAGTGGCCTTCTGGTCTTAAGCAGAGATGGGAGACTGGAACAGAAAGATGATAATCGTAGTCAGGCAAGCCGAGGTCAGTGGGAAGGAGAAGCAGCAAAGTCAAAACAGTCCAAATTCAGCAACAGGAAGGAGAAACAGGAACACGCTGGATTAGAGAGTACAGAAACCACAATAATCTGGCAAAGGTAAAGAGACAGGAAGTGGCTTTTATAGGCCAAGAACCAGACACCTGACTAGACACAGCTGAAGTGAGTTGTCACTGATAACCTTGACTCTACAAGCAATGGTATCAGATCTCAGGTAAATTTGCAAAAGGCAGGCTGGTGTACTGGTAATGAAAAGGTTTAGCATCATGTAAACCAGGGTTCGAAACCCAGCAGAGTCAGTTCCTCACAGGGGGTGATGGAGGGATAGTATGAAGGAGGGGGTATGATGGAGTGTGGTATAAATGTTGGGGGGGTGATGGAGGGATAGTATGAAGGAGGGGGTATGATGGAGTGGTATAAATCTCTTGGGGTGATGGAGGATAGTATGAAGGAGGGGTGATGGAGTGTGGTATAAATGTTGGGGTGATGGAGGGATAGTATGAAGGAGGGGTATGACGGGAGTGGTATAAATCTTGGGGGTGATGGATGGGATAGTATGAAGGAGGGGCATGGATGGAGTGTGGTATAAATGTTGGGGGGTGATGGAGGTATAGTATGAAGGAGGGGGTATGATGAAGTGTGGTATAAATGTTGGGGGGGTTGATGGAGGGATAGTATGAAGGAGGGGGTATGATGGAGTGTGGTATAAATGTTGGGGGGGTGATGGAGGGATAGTATGAAGGAGGGGGTATGATGGAGTGTGGTATAAATGTTGGGGGGGTGATGGAGGGATAGTATGAAGGAGGGGGTATGATGGAGTGTGGTATAAATGTTGGGGGGTTGATGGAGGGATAGTATGATGCAGGGTGATTTGGTGGAGGGGAGATTATGAAGGGGGTATGATGGAAGGGTGTTATGATGGAGTGTGGTATTAAATGTTGGTGGTGATGGAGGGGTAGTATGATGGAGGGTGATATGGTGGAAGGGAGATTATGGAGGGGGTATGATGGAAAAGTGTTATGATGGAGTGTGGTATTAAATGTTGGGGGGTGATGAAGGGATAGTATGATGGAGGGTGATATGGTGGAGGGGAGATTATGGAGGGGGTATGATGGAAGGGTGTTATGATGGAGTGTGAGGTTGTACGATAAAGTGTGGTATAAAGGTTGGGGGATGATGGAGGGGTGGTATAATGGAGGGGGTATGGTGGAGGGTGGGTATGATGTGAGGATGGTATAATGGAGGGTGTGATGTAAGGGTGATATTATGGAGGGGTATGATGTGGGGGTGGTATGATGGAGGGGTGGTATAATGGAGGGGGTATGATGGAAGGGTGGTATAATGGAGGAGGTATGATGGAATGGTGGTATGATGGAGGGTGGTATAAAGGTTGGGGGGATGATAGAGAGGTGGTATAATGGAGGGGGTATGATGTGAAGTTGGTGTAATGGGGGGCATGATGTGAGGGTGGTAAGAAGGTTGGGGAGTGATGGAGGGGTGGTATAATGGAGAGAGTTATGATATGAGGGTGGTATAATGGAGGGGTGGTATGATGGAGTGTGGACTAATGGAGGGGGGTATGATGTGGAGGGTGGTATAATGGAGGGGGTATGATGTGAGGGGGTATGATGGAGGGGGGGGTAGATGTGAGGGTGGTATAATGGAGGGGGTATTTAATGGGATGTGAGGGGGGTATGATGGAAGGGTGGTATAAGCGAGGGGGATATGATGTGAGGGTGGTATGATGGAGGGGTGGTATAAGCGACAGGGTATGATGTGAGGGTGGTATAATGGAGGGGGGTATGTTGTGAGGGTGGTATGATGGAAGGGTGGTATAAGCGAGGGGGATATGATGTGAGGGTGGTATAATGGAGGGGGTTATGATATGAGGGTGGTATGATGGAGGGGGGGTATGATGTGAGGGTGGTATGATGGAGGGGTGGTATAATGGAGGGGTGGTATGATGTGAGGGGGGTATGATGTGAGGGTGGTATGATGGAGGGGGTATAATGGAGGGTGGTATAATAAAGGGGGGTATGATGTGAGGGTGGTATGATGGAGGGGGGTAGATATGAGGGTGGTAAATTGGAGGGGGGTATGATGGAGGGGGTATGCAGGCCACCTCTGTTACTGTGACCACAAGCAATATGCTGAATACACAATCCTCTCCATGCTATTGTTTTGCAATTTGTTGCTGAGCACAAAAGGAAAGGGCGAACAGGTAGGTATGGTCAGTACAAGCTCTCAGATATCATGGTGTTCTTGCGGGATAGAAAGAAACCTTATTAAAACCAGTAGTGTGCAGGGTTACACTGGGTTTTTGATCTGATAGTAATTATTAGTATAATGCTCTGTAGCTCAGAATAACACTAATTACAGCAGAGAAAATGTCTGCCTGGACAGTCTCCTCCTCGGGAGGTCCATGGAGTCTCCTACTCGGGAGGTCCATGGAGTCTCCTACTCGGGAGGTAAATGGAGTCTCCTACCCGGGAGGTCTATGGAGGCAGTCTAGGTTATTGGATAGAATTAGAGTTCTGCTAACCCTATCCTGGTATATATGGTGCCTTACGTGATCACTAGAGCCTAATTAATATCGCTGTGTGTCCACCAGGGACTTGTGATGTTAGACCTATTGTGTCACTCACCCTGGGCACACATTACTCCTATAGGCTAAAGTGCAGATCAAGAAGTACAATTCATCAGTCAAGGGGGATCTTTTAAAGGAACTGTTTTGATTGGCTAAATGATTTTTCTCTGGCAGCATATGAATACTGCATTTAACATGGCAACACTTATGTTTCCAAGAGAATACAGTGTGTCTGGCAATTCGATGGAAGACAACTCCTATCACACATATTTGCAATACCAAAAGTTGTCCAAATTGGTTCAGAGGAATGCTACTAACTAACCATCATTTGGCCCCCACGTGATCCGTCCTATAAGCAGTGGCATATCGGATATCACCTCTGTCCAAACATATCTCATCTCCGTCATTTAAAGGGCCACTCCAGACACCTACAGACTGAATAGCTTTTACAAAAAAATGCAGATCTCATTAGAAGTTGGCTCTTTTATAAATGAACCTGGTTACACACCCCTGGCTGTCAATCAGACAACTATCCTTATTACTTCCTGGTTGTTTAACTCGGTGGAGCTAAACTTGAGAGTCAGCAATTGTCCAGAGCACCTGCCTTGTAAAGATTTAATAGGGGAGGGCTTGCAAAGGTAACACACAAGAGAACTGCAATTTTTGCAAGCTATTTTTAGTTATGACCACAATGAAAACATGGATAATTAAATGCATGCATATTTATATTTGTAGTATATCTACCAAACAGTGATTTTTCTTTCTTTATAAAATATTGGCAGTGAAGAGTCCCTTTGTAGAGGATGCTTCCCCTTTATACAGAAATATCAACTGTGGGTTTCACACGGAATGCTCAAAGGGTTTTTTCAAGTCACACAACAAAAAAAAATACAGTTGAGGCATATATAGTTAAGGGCAGTCAGAAAATCTAGTCCAGTACACGAATTATGTTAAAACTATATTTCATTTTTTATTGAAGACATTTATTTGATTCATTGATGGGTCTATTCACTTCCATTTTATCCCAATGAACATGATTGGTATGGAAGGAACTGAAATCACCCCATACTGTGTAAATATTATTTAAAGCTTCGATACTGCTCATAGCACAGGAGGTATAGGAATGGCTACGGTATAGGAGATGATTGATCTAGAAGTTAAAGACTGCCCAGTGCAGACATTATGAGTAAATATCCCATAAAGTGGAAGGAAGGCCCCACTAAGCAGCAATCAGTACGTAACAAAGTGAGACAGACAGAAAGGGAGCGGGGCGACTTGGAGTCGATATCTTTAAAGAGAACAAGCAGATTCGAGTAATCCAATTTAAAAGAGATAAAAGTCTTCTGGTAGCACTGTCCTTTAACAGGACACATGCCTTCGTTCAAGTGTCAACCCCAATCCTAGGGAGGTCACCCAACTCAGCCTGTAGCCTAATATACTTGGGAATTGTATCAGGAGATTCCTGAACAAACACACAGCCTTGCAGAATTGGTTTTCATGCAGCTGTATTGGCCCCTAATACAATTATCTGCAATGAGTCAGCTGAATGAAGCATTGCGAGCCGTTGGTCAGCTCTGAAACCACAGGCTTTTTGTTATTGAAGGGAGAAATAGGAAAGGATACGGCAGATTTTACATAACACACACACACACACACACACACATACAATCTACAATAAGTATGTTTAGAAATCAGTCTGTGTAAATAGGATACACTGTACTAAATCACATTTTAATTGTATAAATTGTTATTAGTAAAATGTCTCAGAACAGCCCCGCCCCTGGGCACACCCCTAAAATGAAAGTGTCCCTCTATGTCTATGTGAAATGTTGGGAGGTATGTATATTTAACGTGTTCCTTTCAAGCAAAAACTAACCATTAAGGTAGTAAACTGTGCTATTTTGGGTATTCAAATTACATCCAAAATGGATTTCATATAATAGCCAAACTGCAAACATGGTGGCCTAAAATGTGAAATTCATTTTGAAACCACTTTTCCCAATTTTAAGAATAACCCTGAATAAAGTGACCCATTGACAATATCAGAAGGCATTCCAGCTGGCCTTGGGCATGTTGGACATCATTTTCTGTTTCCTGCACAGTGCAATGCTGGAACTCACACACTCTGACAATACAGATTTTATCAGTAACTGTCACTGATGGTTTAACGTTTTTAATACAATTCCAATATGGCCGACTCCACGAATAAGTTCCAGCTAAACGACATGTAGTTTGCTTGCATTAAAACAATATGGACCTATCTGCATTATTGTTTTATGGGTAATTGGGAGTCTTGAATTTGCCTTTGATATGAAGGCTACACTGGCCTTTAAAGGATTATGCCTTTTATATAACAAAAATAATAGATCGCAAGGCAGAACACAAATATGTCACAGGTATAAAGAAGGCAGTGTCACCATATTAGACCATTAGAGTCTTAATGGGGGCCTGGAGCTGAATATTAAAATATCCATTCTATGGGTAACAGGGCACAGGGTATCCATCCTATGGGTAACAGTGCATGTCGTATCCATCCTATATTTAAGGAGGCACAGGTTATCCATCCTATGGGTAACAGGGGACATGGTATCCATTCTTTAGGTAACGGGGCACAGGGTATCCATCCTATGAGTAACAGGGCACAGGGAATCCATCCTATGGGTAACGGGGCACAGAGTATCCATCCTATAGGTAACAGGGCATGTGGTATCCATCCTATATGTAAGGGGGCACATGGTATCCATCCCATGGGCAACAGGGCACAGGTTATCCATCCTATTGGTAACAGGGCACAGGATATCCATCCGATAGGTTACAGGGCACAGGGAATCCATCCTATGGGTAACGGGGCACAGAGTATCCATCCTATATGTAAGGGGGCACATGGTATCCATCCTATGGGTAACAGGGCACAGGATATCCATCCGATGGGTTACAGGGCTCAGGGAATCCATACTATGGGTAACGGGGCACAGAGTATCCATCCTATGAGTAACAGGGCACAGGGAATCCATCCTATAGGTAACGGGGCACAGAGTATCCATCCTATAGGTAACAGGGCATGTGGTATCCATCCTATATGTAAGGGGGCACAGGGTATCCATCCCATGGGCAACAGGGCACAGGTTATCCATCCTATGGGTAACAGGGCACAGGATATCCATCCGATGGGTTACAGGGCTCAGGGAATCCATATTATGGGTAACGGGGCACAGAGTATCCATCCTATAGGTAACAGGGCATGTGGTATCCATCCTATATGTAAGGGGGCACAGGGTATCCATATCATGGGCAACAGGGCACAGGTTATCCATCCTATGGGTAACAGGGCACAGGATATCCATCCGATAGGTTACAGGGCATATGGTATCCATCCTATATGTGAGGAGGCACTCAAGGTATGTGTGCAATGTGTTTGAAGAGAATACAGTGCATTACTATGTGCAATAGACAGACCACAATGTAACCACCAAAGCATTGTTCAAGTATGTTATATCTGTGTGAGGCCCTGAACCATATTTTCCAGATTCTGCTTTAATATCTGACCGCTAGAATGGGAGAGACAGGGCCAGATAGCAGTTGTATTTCTCCCAGTGGATGCAGCAGACTCTAATTTGTCATGTAGAATATCTCTTGGCTTCGCAGCTCAAATTCCTTCCCTCATGCCTGGTAAATCGGTCTTCATTTAAAACCCTCTCTCTTAGCCCTAAATGGAAATCAATTCTGCAAGTTTAGCAAATAGTTAATTACTCCACAAAGAGGATTGATCGGTCTTTGATCACCAGAAAGCTCTGTAGTGCTATTAGTCTCTTTCATCTGTGATTAAACCACAGAGAGAAAGAAACAAAACCTAAATTAGGCTTCTTCAGTTATCCTACAAATATTTAATGATGGGATAATCTTCTAGAGGTGTGTTCGGGGGATATGTGATCCAACAGACACCAGCTGCTTCTCAACCTTGAACCCACCATGTACGACGTCAGACGCTCTCTCAGCCTGTCGGCTGATGTGGAGGGCTCTCTAAAATATCAATACCAATGTGAAGAAATGTGAAGAAAACTTTATCTACTTAGATTATTTTACTACCTTCTTGCTTTTTTTAAGCAATACCCACCCTATCATATTTTATTCTTGCACTGGGAGTGAGCACATCTCCTGTCCTGGTGTAACATTTATTCTACTGAACCATGCGCCAATCATCTGTCTGATCTTTTGCCAACTCTTGTGAGTCAGGATGGCACGAACCTGATGTTATTCAGCTTCGATAAGCTATTCATGAAATTTGATAAATATGACCGTTATATTTAAAGTGTGATAATATGTTTCCGATCTTTTTGCCTGCTGTCTAAAGGTCACAACAAGAACTATGACCTAGAATTTCACCTAAACACATTCCCTCTTGATTCTGGTTCTCATAACACCAAGGATCAGCTATCTGAATTCCTCATGCCAAACATGAGTGGCTTTGTGACTTCCACAGGTGGAGTGTGTATGATCCCCAGTGACTGACATTCTATGGCAGGTCGCACAGCTATTGGTGACCAATGTTTTCAAACGAGGTTGAGCAAAAGACATTGAGTAGAAAGTCTTTCAGTTCTCAGAAACAAAAAAATCTGCATTTCTGATGAGCAGATGTCAGATAATCTTATAAAGTGCAGCTCATTCCTGCTGGCCCCATTGAGTGTTAAATCCAAAACGACGGGGCCCAAACAAACTAAAGAAACTTGTCAAACCGGAACCCCGAGAAAGGAGGCACCTCAGCATGCCACATCTTCCCCGCACAAAAACATCAAAGCGTTTAAGGAATACTTCAGCATACAAACGTCAAACGCCTGTCTTAGAAATGTTTAATCCTCATGTTAAAGATGTCCCCAAAGGGGCTTGGATTCTGATTACACATAATCTCTTTTGTGCCAATCACACAGCTATTGGTGAAGCTGCTCCTCTTGAGCACTCAAGATTTTATTCAAAATTAGAACCTTGGAGTAGTAAATAAAGCATTCTGAAACCAAAAAGCATTAATTTATCAACTGCAAGGGGTGGAAATGGGGAAATGGGGACGGGTGCATTAGTCTTTCTTGCCAGACAATTTTATTCAACAGTGTTCACCAAACACAGTGTTTCACAAATGTTAAGGCTACACATGTGATTTGAAATATTTTTGCAATGCAGACAATAGCAGATCGGAGTCTACTTTCCAGCTTCTCCTGCTTATCAACATAGATTTGTTTTTATCTTGTTACTGCTTATTAATGTTACTTTATTGTTAAGATCTAGTGAAGTCTTAAACACCATTTGGCAATGCCCGTGATAAAAGTGCCTTGCTCCTGTAATGTGGGCCCAGGCACACTGCAGAGTGATTCAAGGACTGCGATTAAACTACAAGGCAAGTGGTGAGTGAACAGGAGATGGAAAATTGAGAAATTAATTTCACTCTTTGCTTGTTTTTCCTATCACTCACATGCTAATCAGTTATCGTTGAACCATTGAAGCTAAGTCTCTATTTTCCTCACGTCTATCTCAATAATAAAGATGTTATAGGCCTAGACCTTCCAAAGACCGTATTCTTGACTATATTTTACTCCTGATGAACAGATGAGACGGATCATGTTTAAATTCTGGCTTTGATCTCTCGTTATTACCATTAGCAAGTCGCCCAGGATTCTATGTGGTTCTTCTGGCTGATGAGTGAAGTCAAGACACTTGCAGCTCAAGTGACAAGGGAAGGCACAGTTCTTTCACAATCTCAATAGCCATCTATTTCAACCTTCTGAAAGTAACTTTCATTTTAGGGCGAATTATAAGACGGATTGATAAAACATCTTATCAGATATGAAGGAAGGTATCTATAAAATATTGTTGCTGAACAACTGGTCAAGCTGATGTAGCTGTTTGGGATCTGGAACATGGAAGTAAAATAAAACATTGTTTAGAGTATAACGTCCTTTTGGGGTCATCATCTAGTAAGACTAATTCCTCCAGTTAATAGTTAAAGACGGTTTTCATCTGGCACATGGCTGTTGTGACGTGAGAGTCAGGGTGAACGTGCTAACAATATTGTAGTACCTACTTACGGCAAGCTTTATTTTTTGGCTACATTCGTAAAAGAAGAAACTGAAAAGAACAAAGGAAAATATATAGAAGAGGATCTGTGAAAGGCTTACTGAAGAACCCCTTTTCAAAACACACAGGAGACTCAAAGTTACAGTTTCTCGACTCCAAGTCTTACTTTTTAGCTGTTGATTTTATGGCATGTCCCTCTGCGGTTGTCGTGTTGCTAAAATGCTGTGTAAATCTGTGAGGGCTTTAACACCAGTTCTTAAAGGGAGACCTGTTTCATTTACGTAAGTTATTTAAACGAAGAGTAAATCAAACTAAAAACCCCGTCAGTTCCGCAACTGCAGCAGCTCTACAAATGCACAGCTTGTATGGAATATTACTCCTGCATGGCTTTCAGGAAAATGGAGCAAGACCCCAGAGAAAATGAATTTATAGGACAATAGGCAATGTATGTGACAAGCCTGATGCTGCATTTGGGATCAGTTCCTAAAGACCGATGCTTAGTTCCCCACAAGGCACGTTTTTAAGGACATATGCTAATGCAATTAAATGCAAACGCAATTGCTATGCAGTCACGTAACAATTGTGCATAGCCCATGGTGCAAATCTATTTGTCATTATAATATTTTAAGGCCAGTTGCTAATGACTGTGTTGAACATCAATCTAAATTAGGAATTAATTCCAGAAATAGCTGTGACAGACAGTGAAACTGTTATTTTCGCAGTAACATTAGAAATCGAAATTACACATAACTATGGCATTAAGAATTTATAGATTTTGATGGCGAATTTGTTTGCTGTATGACATTTTATTTTACTCCGGCAGAGTTGTGATGCTATTTATTATTCCGCCTTAATTTGCAATCCTTTTTCCAGCTTTTGTTGCAGAAATACATGTCCATATTCCCAGAGATGCAGAGGGAAGGGGGTATTTCCATATAGTGAATGGTCTGCATCATTGCACTGCCTTATCCATTGCTTAACGAAAATTACAGGGGGATGGGGACAATGTGCTTGGATCACAATGCTGGGCTTCTGGGGAACCAATACTGCAACAGGTTCCTTGGAAAAAATTATATTGCTGTTATGACCTGTGCTGGTCACAAGTCAACATCATTGGCATTCTCGCTTTAGCTGTATACTATGGCCTTTACAAGTCTTATATAGCGTCTCTATGATGAGCCTCAAAGCCTTAGGGTTAAGCATCTAATAATAATGTGCTGACATTATTTGGATGTCCAGGTCTAGGAATGCCAGCAGGTATCTGAAGATCTGAGCTGTAGTATGATGTGCACGTTAGTAAATAGAAACATACCTTGTTGCTTTGATGGAACTGTGAAGAAAAGTGCAATCAACTGTTGCATGATGGGAGTTGCTCTCCTACTTCTATTGATGAACCTCCAGGAACGTGTGGCTACAAGATGACTTGAGAATGGACTAAAGACCACAAGACAAGGCCAATCGATGACCAGGCAACCCACTAACAATTACTTTTGGAGATGGATACAATCATGTTAAATAATGGCAAGAGATCATGAACTATGAATCCACCTGAAATTACAAGAGTTAATCACTAAACTGAATATACATTTTATTCCTCAATATCAGAGCAGAAAAATAACTGAGTTGGATTTTTCATAGTTTAACAAAAAAACATGTCTGTTATGCAAACCTCTTCACAATTCCTGGTTTATTAAATAACCCCATAGATTTAAACAAGTTAAATATCCCAGTTTACCATACTGAATGTATTTCCATTTATCATATTGGCTTGATGCACTGTCCCCAAATGTTTAATCTAAACCAAGCCATCCACATCCCGTAATTTTTTTACCAATAGTTGTTTGATCATTAAAAAAACCTGTCTAACAAGACCTGCCTCTGATCAATACACATTCAGGCTGAATCCGCAATGCTCTGTCTTATCAAATTAGCAGCTACTGAAACAACTCTATACAAAAATCAATCCGCTTCTGACCTTAAAACACAGGTCAATTTTCACATAGACATTAATATACTCTTCACAGACACACATGTTCTAACACATTCCCATGAACATGTCCAAACACCATGAAAAACACAAGACCACAAACACATGTACAGTATAAACACATACAGAACCACAGACTAGTTATCTCAGAGATAGTCAGTAGAGCAGAACAGATGTCTGTGTGACACTCAGTCTGCTGTTACAAACTACGACACAAATATCACAAAGAACAACTGAGGGTTTATTCACTAAAGAGCAAACGGCAGCAAACAGTAACCTGTTGAGCAAAAATTAAACAGCC